CCCAACTTCTCCAACATCAACATTATTTTTATCACATTTGTCTCGAACATTCCTTTCATCGGTATTTTGCTCATCACAATAAACATAGATTTATGTTTAAAGTATTTGTCCATAATTGATACAAATAAAAAAAATCAATCACATTAGATAAGAAAGTTTCAATCTTTCTAAATCAATTAATTAGCAAGTTCACAATTGAAGTGGAACAAAATTATTACATGTATTTATTTTTATACACTTTCAACTAAAACTAAGAAATAGAATATAGTCACCAAATTACTCTTCAAGAAACAATAGAAAATAGGTAACAATATTTAGCTTTTATTTCATCAACTGTTCCTTCCATTCGCTAATGCTTCAGCTTTGCAGATGGGGCAAACTTTCTTTTGCAACAACCACTTTGATATGCAATCAACATGGTATTCGTTCTCAATCAATAAATCACTTAATTATCAAGTTCACAATTACCTATCAATTTCCAAAAATTCCTAAATCCCTAAATCATAAGTAATATGCTCGTGTTTAAGTATTGAAATTAATTCACTACACGAATAGTGAACTCTGGATCAATAGTGCAACCCTCTCTAACATCAACTCTCATGTGATACACTTATTGTTTAATATAATATCTTTTGATTATTCTCGAGAAGTATTTTTACTTTTCTACATTGTAAAAAATGCATGTTTGATGAGTTTTTTTTAGCGTATAAGCTGTTTAAATATTATTTTTATACACACATTTCGTATAACTTAGGGTCCGTTTGATTGTAAATGTGGAAAATGGATGGAAAGAAAATGAATTCTAGAGAATTGAATTGTCTAGAAATTGTTTTATTGGGAACTGTAATTAATTGTTTGATTTGTATAATTTTTCATATGAAAAATGTTGAAAATTTGGTGTCCGTTTAACTTTACTTTTCATGAAAATTGTCCATTAAAGTGATAATTTCTTTTACTATTGGGTCTAGAATTTGTTTAACTTGCCAAAAAAATAATAATAATAAAATTATCATATCGAATACCATTCATTTGACTTTGTTTTGCATGGAAATTGTCAATAAAAATGATAATTTTTTTTTACCATTGGGTCTAGAATTTTT